TGTAGTTTAGATATCTAGCTAGTAGTTCTAACATTATTAAGAAAGGAAAAAAAAAATCTAGCGGTACTACTTAAAGAGTTAAGAGGACTTACATGTCTTGATTAAGAAATCCACTGATCACAAGTGGAAGGTTCTTAGATTCAGCTGCTTTGATCGAATTTTTTACTGCTTATTATTGAATTTACAGTTCTGCTATGTGTAATGCAAAGTTGGTATCTATTGGATTCATATGCCATCAGTTAAAATTTGTATTAGGATTATTCTGTTCCCATGTGGAGGTACTTGTTATTTTGGTTATTTGTATCAGAAAAGGAAGAAAGAGGACATCAATTAATGATGTAGATGTTGTGAAAGTAACAATGTACTATAGAAATCGTTTAGATATCTTTGACTTTTTTTGCCCTTTGTTTCTTTTTGTTTTTGGAATGGTTGAAAGATTTTTCCAAATCAGTTAGTCTTGCATTGTCAAAAAACATGGTGATATAGCTATATGTTTGAAGTTGCCATACGTATTTTAATAATCTTAAGTTATGAGAATACTTGATTTCAACCTTTTACACTAGCAGTAGGCACTGATTAGATTGGTGGCCCAAGTTATGCATTCAAATTATGAGATAGTCTAATTTTACTATCCTTTGCACATATGTTTGAAAATCAAGTTGATTGTTGGTTCAATAAGAATATAGTATTTGGTTAATATAATGAAGCAATAAAATGAAACAAGTTTTATGCAGGTCCTTGAATTCAAACTGGGTGTAGGTAGGGTATAGGTAAATATTAACTATTGGTTTTGAGGATGCAGATCCATTTATTAGCATGCCGTGTTCCTGTGCAGGAATTCCCACTCGTTTAGCAAATGATCGTGTTTATGTTGAGTCCAACTTACCGGCCACCTATTTAGACCCGCCCGACAGGACAATGTAAAACTGCCATCTTCGCCTAGGCTCTTGACCATTTACTGAACGGTGAACATCCCCACTACTCTCACTATATCCATTTATAATGATACTTTCGTTTCAAAACACAAGGGAAAGGAAAGTTGTCACCGCCGCCATGAAACCTTCCACAGCCATCATCTTCACGGCAGAATTTATGCCCAACCTGAATCGCAATCACTGCATAAAAGGAAAACTTTCCAGACGTCAGGGCATTGTCCCACTCTCACTGAGACTATCTAGAAACCACAATCCAAATCAAAAGAGCGAAAGTAGTCTTCAAAAGTGCTATGTAGATCATAAACCAAAGGGAACTTCAAAAATTTTAATTCTTTGTTGTTCGTCATTTTCTCTCCTCCATGGGATACTGAAGATAGCTGTTATAAGATCTCTTCTGATGATTTCAGTCTTGGTTGTTAATTAGTTGAAGTTTACAAGGAGCAGATGGTGGTAGTGATCGTGGGTAGATTCACTAGCTTGGGGAAAATGTTGGAAAGTGGACAGCCATTCATCTTTAGACAGCCCACTATAGAAAGGAATTCTCGTCTATCTATTTTGATTTGATTAGATTTTTCACCTAGTAGAGATTCAAGAAGTGAATTTGCTTTCAAAAGTCCTCTTTTGGTAGGTCACTAACTGTCTCACTACTCGGTTATTCGCCTTCACATTTTCTTCTTCACTTTGACAGTGATGACAGCACAAGTTAGAGCATGTGAACTTGTACAACCATTCCATTGTTGTCCAGATTTCTTAAAACTGTCTAATGTTTAGAATCTTGAGCTTTTCATTTTCTTTTGTGCACCAGGAAATATCAATTGCTGCCAATCTACCACAAAAGGAGATAGGGAAGTACATCAAGATACTTGGAGAAGCTCTACAACTAAGTCAGCCCCTTAATAGCAATTCAATATCAGTCCACATGCCGAGATTTTGTACACTTCTCCAACTTAACAAATCTGCTCAGGTACTTGCTGAGGCATCTTGTATCTGATCTTTGAGTGGTCATTTGTTTGGGTTTCTTAAGACTTTTCTCTTGTGGAGGACCCATGATAGATTGACTTTGTCTGGCTAAGCTTAAAAGGTTCACTTATAAGTAAGCCCATGTTTGGTTTAGCTAGAAATTTTGATTAAAATTTAAGTTAAAGTCAATAATTAATTTTAACTACACATTTCATAGGATACAAAGCTTTTCAACCACACATTCTACTAATTTTTATCAAAATCCACTAAAAATTTGATTTTAATCTAAACCAAATGAAGTTAAATAAGTTGTAAAATTAGTTTCTTTTTTTCATAGATCGAAATTGAAAATAGGATACTTATTTTGTCCATAAAGTAAAAGTTACTTCTAAGAGCTTATTTGGGTTTCATTATAACTCCTTATAACGAAACCGTCAACGTTTTGATTTTGAACTGAACCAAATCAAACTGTTCCAAAGTGATTTGGTTTAGGTTTCAATTTTTGCAAACTGCTTCAAGCAGTTTACCAAAAAAAAAACAAAAAGAAAAAAAAAAGAAAAAGAAATTACATTGATTTTAATTTTATCAAACCTATTTAAAATTAAACACATCCTATTGGAAAACACATCTATATTAGACCCAATACTGAACCTTTTGCTAATAAGAAGGATTTTGTCAAATTCTTTCTACTGCGGTTGTGCCTATGCGAGTTCTGAGGTCAAGTTTAGAGAGATTTAGACTAATAATTTTTTTTAACTTGTTCTCTCTCTCTCTCTCTCTCTCTCTCTATATATATATATATATATATATATATATATATGGTTTGTTAAATTGTGGTTTTAAATCAAACAAAATCGAAAAAAGTTATTTGGTTGGTTTGAAATTTCAAACCACTTTAACTGGTTTGATCTGAAAATTTGTCACAAATTGTACAAACCAAACTCTGTTCACCCGGAGTCTTAGATTTTCATCCTACTTAAACGGAAGTTTTCACAATCTCATGCATTTATGATATGTGACTTTTTTACATTTTCGAGGATATTTGCCAGCGGTTCTTTTTTTTTTTTTGGGTTCTGCAGGATTAAATAAACTAAGTAATCAGTTCGAACATCGTGATCAATTTCTTGCTTATCTTGAAGCTTTATTTCCATGAGATCCTAGTCTAACTGGTGCTTAAAACCGTTTCAGGAGTTGGCAACTCACATCGGTGAGGTTGTTATGAACAAGTGCTTTTGCACCCGTAGGAATCCTATTAGTATATCTGCAGCTGCCATTTATTTGGCCTGCCAATTGGAAGATAAACGTAAAACACAGGCTGAAATCTGCAAGGTGACAGGCCTAACTGAGGTCACTCTTCGAAAGGTTTACAAGGAGCTGTTGGAAAATTGGGACGATCTACTTCCATCAAATTATAATCCAGTTGTTCCTCCAGAAAAGGCGTTTCCGACCGCAACCATTCCGTCAGGTCGTTCCTTGACTTCTAAAAATGATCTAGTCGAGGGGTCTTCATCGGACAGGGACAAGCATTCTGAAGTGAAGTATACTAAACCGAGCGATATCCTAGATTTATCCCGTCAATCCAGAGGTAAAGACAATGCGATGCAAGTCACACCATCTTCTTGGAGGCCCCAGGTTCCAGTTGGAGCCTCTACTATTCAAAAACCTCGTGAAAGGAATCAAACTGCAACCCAAAATATGGAAATTGATTTACAGTACAAGAATCGTGAAGAGAAAAGAGTGGATACTGATGCAAGGGGCGCGTCTAGGTCTCCAAGCTCGGTTCATTTTCCTAATCCTCCCGCTTTTGCTGCCGGTGTCGTCCCATGGCCATTTCGGCCCCCAACGACATCGTCCCATTCGCTTTCTGCTCAGTTTGTGCAAGGAGCAAAAGGAGCTTCCAATGTTGTGGATAAAGGATCCTCGAAAGAGATTGGGAATGAAAAGGTTATTTAGTGTACTATTAAATTAAAAGTAATATTCTTTTATGCATACGTAAATTTCATGTCACCTAGCTATTGTGTGATACTTATTTTAAGACATTTCGTTAAGAGTTCAAATCAACAAAATTACTCAAATGCATTACTGTATTGGGTTGGTGAACATTACTATCGTTCGTTTAACACATTTTCAATTATAATTCAAAATGATCACATCAGTCAAATTATTACTATTTTTTTTTTACATTATATTTAATAAATAATTGCTAATAGCATTAAATAAAAAAAATGAACAATAATTTTGTTCCAACTTGAGCTCGAATTTTGCCCAAGCAATTCAGAGCTTTGCTAGGTGTACATAATTTTTTTGTACTTCAAGGTGTATCACACTCACGTTGGGTGGAGTCCGTTCGAATATTTAATCTGAGTGAGTCCCACCCCATGTGAGTGTATGAGCACCTTAATGTAAAAAAAATTATGTACAAGTAGTGTTATCCATCAATTCAAAATCAGATTCGACTAGGCGAGCCAAGTTGAGCTCAGCAAGTAAAGTCTGTTGACTCGTCTACAATGCCCACCCTATTTTTTATTTTTTAAAAAATTTTAATTATGATAAATGTCCTCATTTTTATCCACTATTTATTATTTTCTTTATTTTTGTATAAAGAAAATAAGTTCATGTTTTGTAGGGATTAAAATTAAATTAATAATTAATTTTAATCATATATTTTATGATATTCACAATATTTTAATCGTATATTTGATTGATTTTTATTAAAATTTACTAGAATTTTGATTTTAATTCTTGCAAACAGAAGCTAAATAAAGAAAACTTGTGGATTGGCCGAATCGAGCAGGGGCGGCCGGCCCACTTGCCACCGCTAACTATTTGTCTAGTCAGCAAAGGACGTGAGGTCACAATCCGTGGCACTAACGTAATATACGTTAATGTTCATGGTACATATGTCAATGTAACCTCCAAAAGAAACACACAATCCACCAATCTCTACCGTTCATCTCCTTCCATGTCATCAATCCGCACCTCTTTAATCGAACGGCATCCAGTGGCTCTCACAACAAACACACATTTTACTGACTCCGTACATAGTGCCACCCAGCCAAACTTAACTCAACCCTAACTCGGACTCGACTCACCAGTCGCCCACACATTATCTACACAGCGCGCACAAAAAGTTCTAGAGAGATAAACTCTAGAGAGAGAGACGATTAATTTTGGGGTTTAACTTTTAAGCTTTCCCCCAGCAAAATTCCATAAAAAAAAATTATCACTTATAAGTTATCAGTAGAATTTTTTTTTTATTTTATATATTTTTTATGTTATTCAGAAGATAATTATAAGTATATATATGCATATATAGAAAAGGAGTTGGTGGATTAATGGATGAGATCTGGGAAAGAGCAGTGGAGACGGCATTAGACGGCGAAAATGACGTCGCATCTGTCAGGACTTTAACCCTTGACGGAGCGGCGAAGTGCGTTCATGGCCGGCTACCTCCGCCGTTAATTTTCGAGAAGTTTAGTAACCTCCAGCATTTTTCTATAGCGAATATTGGCCTTTCGTCTCTTGAGCAGTTTCCTCGGCTTCGGAATTTGCAGAAGTTGGTGCTATCTGATAATAGGATTGCTGGAGGCCTTGAATTCCTTGTCGAGGCGGGGTTGGAATTTCTGCGGGACCTTGATTTGTCAAATAACAGGATTTCAGATGTCAATGATTTGAAGCCTTTGGCGGAGCTTAGGCTGGTGTCACTGGATCTTTATGAGTGCCCGGTTACTCGGGTTAAGGACTATAGGTCGCGGGCTTTTGAGTTGATTAGCTCTTTAAAGTACTTGGATAAGATGGACGCAGAGGGGAATGAGAGGCCTGAGTCGGATGATGAGGATGAGGACACCGAAGGGAATCAGAGGCCTGAGTTGGATGATGAGGATGAGGACGCTGAGGAGAATGAAAGGCCTGAGTTGGATGATGAAGATGAGGATGAGGATGATGATGACGAGGATGATGCTGGGAGCGGGGAAATTGAAGGGGAGAATTGGCCTTTTAGGGTGAGTAATGGGCATCCAAGTAGGAACGAGGGGGTTATTGATGTTGATGAGGATGAGGAGAGTGATGCGGATGAGGAGGTAACTGAGACTTCTAGAGGGATTAACGGATTAATTGGTGCGGATGAGGACACCGAAGGGAATCAGAGGCCTGAGTTGGATGATGAGGATGAGGACGCTGAGGAGAATGAAAGGCCTGAGTTGGATGATGAAGATGAGGATGAGGATGATGATGACGAGGATGATGCTGGGAGCGGGGAAATTGAAGGGGAGAATTGGCCTTTTAGGTTGAGTAATGGGTATCCAAGTAGGAACGAGGGGGTTATTGATGTTGATGAGGATGAGGAGAGTGATGCGGATGAGGAGGTAACTGAGACTTCTAGAGGGGTTAACGGATTAATTGGTGCTAGCAATTCCCATCATCTTTCGAATGGGTTTAGAGTGGAGGATGAAGGTGATATGAGTGAGGAAGATGATGATTCAGTGGAAGAGATATATGAAGAAGGTGAGGGTGAGGGTGAGGATGAGGAAGATGATGTGGTAGAGGTCCACGAGATAGATGACAGTAGTGACGAGGAGGATGGGGTGGAGGATGACGAGGATGATGATGATGAGGTAGATAATGATGAGGGCAATTTTGAGGAGCCCGATAGTAATGGGAGGTTGATAGGTGTGGAACGAGAGATTGATGGTCACGAGCAGGGTGACGATGATGATAATGGAGAGATGGGAGAGGAAGATCTGGATAATGAGGAGGACGGAGACTTTGAGGATGAAGATGAGGTGATGATCCATTTATCTTTGTGATTATAATGTCCTTATTTAGTGATTTATTGTTTTGGGGTGCTGGACCTGAATTATATACATGATCTTGCTGATTGGATTACATTCCCATGTTTTGAATTTTTATCGATTGAACATCTGATTCAACGTGCACTTTTATATGCTAAAAAAATGTGAATTATCATACTACCCTTTTGATCCACAAGTTATGGTGAATAATAGTTGACTGTGCTAGTTTGCATGTCGTAATCTAAATTGTTGCATAAGCATTTGCAGTATAAGTTTTGTGTTTTACAGTGAATGCACCTTGGTTTGTAATAGAACTATAGGTAGTTTTTAGAGAAATGAAGAGTGGTTAGCTCCTGAAATGTTAGTGCAAGCATTGATGTCTGCTGTGTGTATTATTTTTGGTGGAGTCACCTTAAAATTTTCAAATTCTTTGTCATGTAATGTGTTTTCGTATGCTAAATGTTGAAAATGTTTTCTGTTGTTTTAATGCCATGAATTTATGTTTCTGAGCGGATTTCTTTAATGTTTGGTACATGATTTCTAGGACAGTAGCTTGGTGACCCCTCGTAGTTTTGCATACATTCCTCCTTGAAGTTTTTCATTCACATAATCTTCTAAAGGGTTGAAATGCCGGAATCTGCAGTCCCGTTCAATTTTGATTTATTAGTATTTGAATTCTTGTGAAATTTCTGTGATTGTTCTTCAAGAAATTGATGCAAGTTTGGAGGTGTTTTCTTTTTGTTAAGCTAGTGTATGTGATTTGAAGTACTGTGAATTCTAGCTTCCTTCTGTAGATTCTTTCTGGTTATTTCAAACTGAAATGAGTTTCGTTTAATGGCAGGAAGAAGACTATGGTGCAGGGTACCTTATTCAACCGGTTGTGCAAGTACAGGTGGGTGCCAATGGTAGTCACTTGGACCTAGGAAATGAAGGTGAAGATGCAGTAAAGGAAGAAGGTATTAGCGATGAAGATGACCAAGACGGTTCAGTCCAGGAGCTCCCAACATCATCTCGAAAGAGAAACAGAGACGAAGATAATGATAATGAAGAGGGTGATGAGGAGACGAAGAAGCAAAAGTAATTTTGGGTATGGTAGGTTTTTGTTTATTCCTAATTAAAATGGTGGGATCTTTAAACTTGTAGACTGATACAAACTGTTGGGTGACAATATTTGGAGGGAAACTGTGGATATGAACCTTACGGTCCTATGTTAAATGTTCAAAAAGTAGTTTGTTTGGAGTAGCCGTTGGTTGCTTTGTGATAATTTATTCAAATGTGAGTTATGAGTGAGTTCAACTCGTTGTATAACTCAGTTGCATTGAAAGCAATGGAAAGAGAAGCCCTTATTTCTTGTGTGCAATTCTTGTTATTTCTTTACCCTTTTCTGATTGGCTTGTGAAACCGATTGTAGGTAGATGCTGAAATCCGTGTTGTATTCAATCATCAAAGTGCTAAATGGATTGTGCAACAATTTATAGTTACTGACCATTGGGCTTGGACTCTCGGCTGTGCATGCTGCGGTTGGCAATAAGAGAAATTGACGTAAATGGCACTGAAATGAGTTATTTATGATTTGAGTACTCATTCTAGACTATTTTTGTGTGAACTTTCATATGTGTAAATCTTTTATATAAAAATAAAACTAAAGATTTTGTCCTATTCGTAAGAACTTGTGAAAATGGGAATTAAATTCGATATTTTGTTATATTGGAAAAAATGGTATTAGAATATTTTCAAAAGACTCTTAGATTAACATTTTAATTTAGAGAGCCTTTATAAATAAATGCATTGAAGATGTTTTAATTTTCAATGTAGGAAAATAATAAAATAATCCAAAGAAGAACTAATTAAAATAAAAAATAGAGAAAATCAAAATTTTAACTTTCTAAATTTATAAATTCTCTATTTTTATTTTAATTAGTTTTTCTTTGGATTATTTTTGACGTGTAGTAAAATTAAGTGTTAAATATAAAGAACTTTCTAAATTGTTTGTTTTCTCACTGTCAAAAGAAAATTGAAAATTTTATCATTTAGTGGTCTTTTTGATTTTATATTTTTAAATTATATTTTTTCAAACTTATTTTTAACCATATATTTATCTAATAAAATAATGTTACAAATGGATTCATAATTTTTTTTTTTTTTTAAACTTTTCAAATTACAATTCTTTAAAAAATTACTTTTCACAAAGTACATATGAAAAATTTTAAATTATACAAGAGCTTAGTAGTAAGTTATTCATAGAAAAAGAAAAAAAACCTGTGTTGCTTAATGAGTAGTGGCATCACTGACAAAAGTTTTCGTCGTTTATTCTCTAATTGGTAACACTTACCCCCGGAAATTTTTGTGAAAGTCATGCAAAAAGTTCGTATAAAATGAAAGTTTTGTTGATAGTTTGGAAGTGCACCAAACAATTGTAACTGTCGAGAATGCAAGAACTTCACTGGAATTTAAAAAAGAAATACATTATTATATTATCTAAATTCTCGTACAAAACTATTTGAACTAAAAGTTCGAAAAGATAATTATTCACATGCATTTTACTGAAGAAATAGATTAACCAAATCTCATACACCGATTATAAATACTTTAATTCAAGTTGACATGATAGAAAAATAATCTGGTAATCTACCCTTTATAATCCTATGGCATGCCTAAAGCAAAATCCTCAAAAGAAAAATGAAATAATAGTAAAGATTGTCCTGTTGAGGAAGAGTATTCTTGAAGAGTAAAAGGGTAAATTAAACATAAAAGGTCTAATAAGTTGTGTGGTTAAAAGGAAAGAAATAAAATTGAAAATAATAGTTGTTGACGCATATAGTGTGCAATATTATGAACAAAAGCGAGGATCAAAATATGTCGAAAAGTACGACGTAGAAATGATTAGTCAAAGTAAAAGGACATAATCTACACAAAATTGAACAAACTAGAAAAAACTAAAGTTCTTGGACCAATAGTTAGCACATTTTATAGTGTAAAGTCTATAGTACTTATACGAAAAATATAGCGGAAAATTGAACTCACAAATGCACAATTCTTAACATAATGATTTTCACAAAGATTTAAAATAGATATGTTCAACTATGACGGATGCAAACATAAGTTGATACCTTATTAGCTTGGAACGCATAAAACGTGAAATATGTTTAATGAATATGGTTATAACACGATCATCTGACTTGACTAAAAATAATATTATGCATATTTGTGAAGGATTTGATATGATCGAAGCATATAATTCAAGTTTCCAAGAAACTTGTTAGATCAAAGTACAAAGAAACTTTGTAATTTGGAATTATTAAGTATGATCATTTTAGCAATTAAATTTGTTGAAAAACAGGTTACACCTGCCTATGTGTTTATATGGAAACCAATGTTTGGATTTGTCATCAATGTTGTTGATGATTTAAATAATGCTGAAACTCCTAAATAGCTTCCGAAGACAATTGATTATTTTAGAAGAAATTCATTATGAAAGATCCCTAAAAAATAAAAAAATAATTAAAAAAAAAAACCTTTGACCTGTAGATCGAGCATTTATCCAATAATGTTATTGGAAAACAGAAGCTCTACTGGAAGACAATGTGCAAAGATGGGAAACGACTTGCTTGACACTTTGGCAGATCAGTTGGGGGGCTCTTGAGCACTGGTTAGTTTGGGGCACAACTTGTGGTTTAACCTGTCTGCACCTTGAGGGGCCAAGGTGTAGACTCCAGGATTTAGTTACTGTAAGGTGGATACCTGGATATCAAAAAAAAAAAAGTCTTAAAAATATTTTACATGAAAAAATGACACATTTGACCTCGGTGATTATTTATCACTTGAAGTGAGAAGACTACAATGTTGATCTTTGATATGATAATGAAAACTTACTGATCTTGAAATACAGTAATTCATAATTTCGGAGTAGTTAGTTATCAACAAAGTTCATTAATTATTTTATATATTAATGTGTGGCTAACATGATGGTTTGTGCGACGACATTTTCACAAACACGTTATCTACTGCAACATTTGAGAAGTTGATAAATAAAATGCACAAATATTACTAAGGAGAAATAGGTGATGCACTCTATTTCTCTTGATCAAAGTTTTGTTCCAAAGAGTTATTTTGACAAAAATTTTGATTAAACAATTTTCTCAACGTATTTAATAGAATAATGTATTCCTTTCCCCTCATTAGTATTTTATCTACAGATTTTTCCTAATAATATTTTAACGAGACATATTCTTTATATAGCTTTCATCAACATAATACTCTCGTATATTATTAAGTTATTTATAAACTCCTGAAGAGAGCAACAACAAATACTTACTTTTCAATGAAGAATAATGCGTATTAGAGTCATATTAAGGAATGTCTTGATTGAGGAATATGTCAAGATAAGATGAGACGAATTTCAACAAAATTGTGACATTGAAGATATTAACAAACAAAATGTGAACGACCCATACAAGGAATATATTCCTTCGGTTGACAAATGTTATATGCGGAACATATTCATTTGGTTGATATTTTTGTCCTATCGAGTTTTCATCAAGCAAAGTTTTTGACGAGGTAGATTGAAGTTATATAATTAGGTGGAAGTGCATTAAATAAAAGTTAATGAAATACGTGATTGAAAATTTGTAAGACTCATAAAATATGTAGTTAAAATTAATAGTTGGCTTTGATTTAGATTAGAATATGAATTTTAATCCAAAACAAACAGCAGCTAAATATCTTACCTATGTCAACAAAATTACATATTGTTTTGTACAAGAGAACTGCACTCGAGTTAATTGATTTAGGAGCGTAATAACAAGTCTATGCATTGATAAAGTTTCACATATGATTTTTTATTTTATTTTTCACGATTTTTCTTCAATATGTTATACTATTTGTTGGAATTGGTTTCAAAATTAACCGAAAATTGGTTAAGTTTAAAACTGAGAAAATGAAAAGGTGTGACTTCGTGTCAACTTCGATCGAATGTTCAGACTTGATCTGATAGTCAAATTACAAAAGTAAATAAACCAACTTATTCTTCTTGTCGAGTAGATCGTCATGGTATATTTGGAATCTCGAAACCAATTCTAGATGAATGAGAAATTGCGGTTCAAAGTTGGAAGAATGAAGTGTTGCAACTTTTCGAAAGGATGCAGGTTTGAAATGAAGTGTTGCAACTTTTCGAAACGAAATGTTACAATTTTCCATGAAAAATGCTGGATTTAGGGTGTGTCCCTTCACCCACAACCATTCATCTTCTATATATAGGACCCCTTTGATGTGTATTTATAATTTCAATTCATTCCATAATTTCATATTATTCATTTCATGTTAAATTATATAAAACACTTTGTAGAAGTGATTATATTTTTTACATCAAAATCATTGTTATGGTAGAGAGGGAATTCCGTTCAAGTTCGTTGGTCGAAGTCATTTGGAGTGCTCCCATGGCTTGACGTGATCGTTGTATCTTGGGAGATGATTGTCGAAAAACCGTTAGCACCGATGCGGAGCAAATTCATCTTAAGGAAAGAGTTATACTCGCCTCGGCCAATCGCATCATTTACATCTAATTTTTTCTGATTTCATTTCTACTTGATTTTAGAAAATGATTAATTTTATTAATATGGTTATGCAAGGTTCGATATGAAGAATCACTTGTTATAATTCAAGAATGGAAATGGTCAGATTCGATAATCATTGGTTAGTTTCTCAAACTCCATTTCGGTAAGTCGAAACCTTGTTTTGATTTCGTGAACATAAACGGTATATTTTTTGTGAATATAATATGCACATAATCGGTATATTTCCCAACACTATTTTATTAAACACTTGACATGATAACTCATTTAACATAATATTTTATCTACCACGACTCTTATTTTCTCCGTCAATGTACAAATTCTATATTTTTTAGTGATTTATATAAATTTAATTTGACTACCGAAGTGGAAATGATCAGGCTGTCACGTGACTCGAGTTTTGCAGCTAATCATGAAAAAATAATTACCTATGTTGATCATAAGGTTCGAAGAAAAAGTACTTAAATTGACCGCAAGATTCGATGGAAATTTTGAGTTCAATAATCGCAAATTTTGAACAGTGACATTGAGAGTTTTGAAGGTAATTTAAATAAATAAAATGTTTCCTCTTCAATAATTTAAAATTTCATATAAAATTATGTACTGTGTGACATGGAGTAGATCTTACAAATTATGCAATTTGCACGTAAAGACACCTATTAAAGGCAATAATTAAATTAAATATGATATTCACACACTCTAAAAATTAAAGGATATTTGGTATAAAATGAATCAACAATATTCCATTAATGTATTTTCTAAATATTTTTATGAACTTCACACTAGGGTG